TGTTAAGGTCTGGTATATCAACTATTCCCCAAGTGTTAAGGTCTGGTGTACCAGCTACTACCTATTGTTAAGGTCAGGTATATCAACTATTACCCAAGTGTTAAGGTCTGGTGTACCAGCTACTACCTATCGTTAAGGTATAGTATATTAGTTATTACCCAAGTGCTAAGGTCTGGTGTACCAGCTATTACCCAAGTGTTAAGGTCTGGTGTACCAGCTACTACCTATCGTTAAGGTATAGTATATTAGTTATTACCCAAGTGCTAAGGTCTGGTATATCAAGTATTACCCAAGTGTTAAGGTCAGGTATATCAACTATTACCCAAGTGTTAAGGTCTGGTATATCAAGTATTACCCAAGTGTTAAGGTCTGGTATATCAACTATTACCCAAGTGTTAAGGTCTGGTGTACCAGCTACTACCTATTGTTAAGGTGTAGTATACTAGTTATTAGCCAAGTGTTAAGGTGTAGTATACTAGTTATTACCCAAGTGTTAAGGTCAGGTATATCAACTATTACCCAAGTGTTAAGGTCTGGTATATCAACTATTACCCAAGTGTTAAGGTCTGGTATATCAACGATTACCACTCTTATTTCGCTGACAATGACATTCCTACCACTCTCTTTTCTCGAGCCGTTTTACCGGGAGTTGTAATTCATCAAATCAATCGGACGTACTAAAACTGATATCAAACGTTTTATTGTGATATTTATACTTTCCCTTGACAATGGTAGAAAAAAATGACGGCTGACACTTTAAACATAAGCGAGTGAGAAAAAGCACAGGGTTGATTAAAACACTAGCATCGTAACAACAATGTGCGCGAGGAGGTGCCGACATCGTGCTTACTGACCATGTGATTATGGTTGTAGACATTGGAATCTAAACCTAAACTTACATTTTTGCGATCTTTTTATTTTAAAAAAGAAAGCTTAAAATACAATCACAAGCAAACTAAAACCGGTTACTTAGTAATAACGGTTAACAACGTTCTTGAATAGAAGTGATCTGACAGATGTGAGATGTTTCACAAAAGCTTATTTAGTAATAACGGTTAACAACGTTCTTGAATAGAAGTGATCTGACAGATGTGAGATGTTTCACAAAAGCTTATTTAGTAATAACGGTTAACAACGTTCTTGAATAGAAGTGATCTGACAGATGTGAGATGTTTCACAAAAGCTTATTTAGTAATAACGGTTAACAACGTTCTTGAATAGAAGTTATCTGACAGATGTGAGATGTTTCACAAAAGCTTATTTAGTAATAACGGTTAACAACGTTCTTGAATAGAAGTGATCTGACAGATGTGAGATGTTTCACAAAAGCTGCTAACTATTTTTCATTCTTTATGAAAGAACCCATGATTTTAACATCTTTGACACCTTGTACGATAAAGAACGTTATTGTAGGTGGCAGTAATAATTACTTTCATTCGTGGTTATTTCTACGAAAGTGTTAAACAATTGGCTTCTTAAGAGAACAAAAACAATATCTATTACACCATAAATACCTTTTAACAAATCACCAGTTCCCTATTTTCGCACGTATTGATATGAAGTAATATGATTTTTACAAATAACAAAAATTCCCAATGACTTATCTACAACGTCTATGTAATATCTACTGCTATACATGATCTACGTTCCATTGATTGCTATATTACAAGGAATTCATCCTATTGGCTGTTGTGATAGCGGAGTTTATCCGTTACTTTGTTGATACTATGCCGTGATATTCATCTTTAATTAGTAATTGTAATGATACTTTAAAGTTACAACATTAAAATCCTGTAAATATCACGACAATCGCCATGTTGGTTTTCAAGACTCCTTCTTCTCTGTGTTGAATACAACCTTCCAATAGCCACTTGAATTTTCACCTGCTGTAGTGACGTCATTGATCTTTATCAAGGATGTAACATAACAAACTGTGGGTCTTGAACATCTCGGAGAACCTGGTACTGGGACAAAACACACAGGAAACAGTATATCTGAAAAAGATAATTAAACGGGAAAAAAGGCTAAGGGTTTCTGAATTCCGATATCTATCGGTTTAATAATAATGTTGCAACAGTTTATATTGTTGGTGGATCCTTTTGAAATATCCAGTAACAACAACAACAAAATATTAATAATGCAAACTCCAGTCGACACAATAATGACGAGTGTTTTATTTCTCCGACTACAAGAAGTTCCATGTAACTAACGATAGGCCTAACTTCACAAATAAATTCTTCAACAGAGTTCCATATATCGGAGGGTGCACAAACACACTATATGTAAGGATGGTACGGACGCCCGTATTAAAGCAATACAAAGGTCTTCTGAATTTTCTTCATCAGAAGCTACAT